CTGATAAGTTTTATTGATCATTAGATAAATGTTTTGAGGTTTAGGCTATTGCTCTCAACGTTTCTAAAGCCTTTGATAAAGTTTGACATGCCGGTCTTCTCAATAAGTTGCCTTGATGGACATCACTCTTCTTCATTTCTTGTAACTTCAGGGGTTCCTTAAAGTTCTATCATTGGCCCTATACTGTTTTTAATTACCAATATCCCAGAAATTCTCACATCTAAAGTGGCATTGTTTGCTGATGATATTACCATTTATTGTTGTTTTAATAAGAAGCCAACACTCTTGATTTGCTAGCTAGGAGATTTGATTGATTGCTAGGAAGAGAATTTGAGTTTGAAAAGGATCTCTCTTTCTGCTTTAATAGTGGTTGGTTGCAGCTATGTTAGAAATGAAGATGCTCAAAAAAACAAAACAGATATATGATGGTAACAGATTAAAAACTAATCGGATAATATGATTTTATTTAGAAATAATGCCATATTTATAGCATTAGTTAAAGAAAAAATTAGTTATAAATATGGCATTTTTCTTGCAAATAAAAAAATTTGATTTTGGGTGACCAGCATTATTTTAAGATTCTTTTAAACTACTTGTTTTCTGAACTTACATTCTTCAATAAATTAAATTGCTAATAATAATCATGGGTTTAAAATGGTTAAATTAAATAATACTACATTTTAGAAATTGATTTATTTGTTTATTTAAATATCTCATAGAAAACTTCTGAAATCTCTAAATTCTTTTTATAATACAAACTGAGGATATTATCTCAAGTCACCTAACTATATATTGTTGCCCCAAAATAATATTGAACAAAAAAGTCAAATAATCAAGTTCGACAAAAGACTAAATCTGTCAAGCAATAGATTTGTGAAAACCTGAATTTAGTGAAAAATGATTCAGAAAAATTCAGATGATTATTCAGATATACAGTTCATTTTAAACTCTGCATTTCTAAAGAAATACTGAGTTTAAAAACAAAAGTTTACCTGAGCATGTTTTTAGTCTTTAAAAGATAATTTTAAGGAGTCCTAGCTTATTAAACTAGAACTCAGTACACCCAAGGAAACCTTCTAACTAAAGAATATGTGTGTTAGCGCTTTAATAAATGGGAAGTACTAACTGTACTTGATACTTCTCACTTAGTTAGTAATAAGCATTAAGCTAAATCTCTACAATGTTGTAAATTAAACTAAATCTCCACAATGGTAGTACAGTTCTTAACTTGTTGTTCCACTTTTCCATAATAAAACTATTCTAGAAAATTTTTACTTTTCTAATTCTATTAGATGAAATTTAAATCTGAAACAGTTTTTTTAGAGTTTTAAATTCCCAGATCACTTTATACAAAAAAAAAAAAAAAAAAAAAAAAAAAAAAACTTGCATTACATATGAACTGCTTAAAACCATTTTACTTATTAAATTACTAATATTTTATTAAATAAAAACTCTTCTCATCTTATATGTAATTTGTACTAATTTTCTAGTTTCTGAACCTGATATCACAAATTTATTTTTATCTTAAGTATAGAATATACTTCTATAAGCTTTTGAAAATTTAGAAAATGGCAAGCAGTATAGAAACAACCTTAGAAGACGCTAACTTTGCAATTAGTTATATGATTTTCATGAGAAATCAGTGGATAAAAGACAATCCAAGAGTACTAAAGTAAGGGGACTAGTAATAAGTATCATACACACAAGGTAAAAAATAATTTAAACATTCATCTAGTGCTTCCAATACCGATACCATTTTTCAATACCGGTATATCGGTACTAAATAATTACAATACCGGTAATACCGGTATAATACTGGTATTAAACTTTATTTTTAAATTTATCATAATCTAAATAAAATCTCAAGTTAATAGTAAAAATTTTATTGATTCAATCAGCTTATTTATTTTATATCAAAACTACTGACTTTTTCATTTTTCGCTTTTTGCTGCTTTGTAAAATGAGCCCGTAAAAAACATAGGGCGTTCAGAACATCATCTACAAAAGATCATCTAATTTTGTTGGCTTCACAGTTTTCAAGTAATGGTAGGAATTTTGCAAATATATACAATGATTTTCTCCTTCTTCAAAAATTCCTATTTCAATACATATAATTTTTGATGAATTATTCGAAACATTCAAGTTTTCCTTGTTGTTACATTTCTTATTTTTCAAAATTGCAAAGTCAAGCTTTTTTTTCAATGACAAGTTTACAGCGTTGTCCACAGAATCACTATCGGAAAAAACGATGGTGAAAGGGAGAGGACTATACCCTTTCTGATTAAGCCGATCTTTCAGTCGAGTAATGGTATTTACAATAGCTAATTTGCTATGGTGCTCAAAAGATAGAGCTAGATCCAAATTCTTGTAACGTTGATGTCCCTTGCTCAAAAAATGTTGTATGCTGGAAAAAGAGTACGTTGCTTATTGAATTGTTGCACCAACATAACTTTACAGCTAAATCGATTTCTCAAAGGTTATTTATCATGAAAATGTTGTATCGGCACACAACAGAGTTGCATGATTTTGGCACAATGTTTCCACAGCCAGTTTTACTGGCGCAAGACATAAGTTAACAGCTAATATTGCATCGGACTCATTATTAGTTACCTCAACTTTGGACTCAAGGGCAAAAAGTGACTCGTGAATGCATTTTTTTAATTATACAAAACGTTTGAGTAATGTGTGCAAGCTAACCCAGCTAGTTTTGGATCAAAGTATTAGTGGAATATCTTTATCAAATTTTTCTAACGTACGTTTTTGAATTTTGATCATTTTTTGTCGGAGAACGGTGAGATAAAAATTTCACAACGGTGCGCACCTTTTTGATTAACGGCTGCAAATTATCAGTCAGTTCAATAGAGTCATTCTCTTCACTCATTACAACTTGAAACCCGCCGGAAAAGTCTTCATCATTATTGGTTATGTTTGTGTCATCAGTAAAAAAAATCGTCAATTTTTTTGCAGAAATTGACAATTTTTTTGTACAAAATATCTTGAATACCTAGTTGAATCCCATGCCTAATGCACAACTATTGATCACAGTTACTTAAACGCCCCACTTTCTACATTACCAAAACTTTTCTTATTTACGTTAGTGCAAAATTCAAACATGCGTTCTACATTAAAGCGAGTGACGTAATGATAATATTTTAAATTGGTGCTTCATTATTTAATGAAAACACGAAAGTAAATGGAATACTTAAAACTTCTAGTCACAATCAAACAACGCTTCCGGTAAGAAAAAGATAGCTAGATGACAAAAGACGTGTTTAAATCGTCTAAAACAAGTATTCTACGTATTTTTTACGTCTTAAACGCTAGCTGTTCGCTGGCTAGTTGCTAGCTCATTTCCTACCAAACCTAGTGGGAAATGAGCTGGCAACTAGATATTAAGTATAAAGTAAGTAGAATACTTGTTTTAGACAATTTAAACACGTCTTTTTTCATCTAGCTACCTTTTTCCTACCGGAAGCGTTGTTGAAAGTTTTAAGTATTTCATTTACTTTAGTGTTTCACGTAAAGAGGGCGATAGCACCTGCTATATCATAAGCCCTCTACATATATTTTTAATACCGGTATTGAGCCAAACCAATACCGGTATTTCGGTACTTAAAAATGTCCGGTAATACCGATATTCCGGTACCGGTACTACCGGTATTGGAAGCACTACATTCATCTAAAAACAAACTATTAAGTCATTATTTTGATAGTTTTTTCTGTCATTCATTCATTTTGACTATAGCAGTGGTTCAGTTGTAGCAGACCAGCAAATGAAAAGCTTTTTTTCCATAATATTGTAATAAGCTTGATGTCTGTTGATGAAAACTAATTTATCAGAATAACAAAAACAATTCTTTATTTGTAATAGCAAATTTAGAAGAAATCAATCTGAAACACTCTCTATTTATTATACTCATTATAACAATCTTCTTCTGTTGATAAGCAGAATAAGTAAAGTGGATCAGTTCCAATGATTTACATTGATTTTTTAAACAACATTTAGTTGCTAATTTTTTATTGATTCAAAGGTTATTTTTTTTGTACAATAGTCAACCATAAAAGTATCTACATCATGATTGTTAATTGCTACAGTGAAATCAACGCTGCATTATATTGGTAAACATGAAAGCTTCACATTAAGTAATTTTAATGCAATTGATAGTAGTTTACTATCATGTAAAAACATTTTAAACCGTGACTAATAATGCGGAAAGTATTTTTAGGACAGCAGTTTAAAAATCACTGGTGAAAAAGTGACACATTAAGACAAAATACAAATTTATGTATCAAAATCTAAAATGCTTTCTTAAAGAAGAGCATATTAAAAGAGGGCTTTATAAAAATCAGCTTTTAAAGAATAGAGATTCATGGAGCAATTTTTTGCTGTTGTTGTTGTTCAATAAATTAAAGTAAAAGTAATGACACTTTAAATTTTCAAAAGATATGCTGTCTACTGTGTATTGCACATGCGGTGATTGGAACAACTGGAATTGAATTCCAACTTTTATTGCTATATTTCTATATATCTTTGAACACAACTAGTTTTTTATTTTCGCCAGGTACATAGTAAATATAGATACAATAAACATTAGTTAAATGTATTTAAAAACTATAAACTAATCTTTGATTTCAATTTTATTTTTTATTAGGTTTTTAAAATAAAACCCAAAGGATTATCTAAAAGCTCAAAATCAGAAAATTATTTTTAAAATAAAAGGTCAGATAAATATATTCGAAACAATTCTTCAGGTCACATATTTTTGATAAATATTTGATACACAAACTATGATAAAGTTATAGATAAATAAAATCGCTAATCATTAAACTACAACAATCAAATTAAAAACAAATTATAGATGTTTATTATATAGATTAGTAGGTCTTGAGAAACACTTAGAGCATGAAACTCATAACATGCACTGCATACGAAGTTAAACACTAATACTGATATTTTAAATATAATTATAATTATTTAAAATAAAGTTATTTTTTTTTACCTGCCAGTATTCAATAGCATCTTTATACCACTTTTCTTTATCTTTCATTCTATTAAAAACTTCCATTGTTTAGCAGAAATGTTTTTGAATAGATGACTACTTTTCCTATATATATATATATATATATATATATATATATATATATATATATATATATATATATATATATATATATATATATATATATATATATATATATATATATATATATATATATATATATATATATATATATATATATATATATATATATATTTATATATATATATATATATATATAAATATATATATATATATATATATATATATATATATATATATATATATATATATATATATGTATATATATATATATATAGGGTTAACGCCTATGTTTCCACATAACTGGGGTTTGGACAGGGGTCAACAATGTCATGTTAGATTACATTTTTTTTAGATGACATGGATTTGCTAAAATTGATTTTTTACAACCCAATTCTTATTTCAGACATTGCGCAGTTTTGCAGACCTTAAATATTGAACATACTGCCATCAAGAAATAAAAATAAATAAAAAAGAGGAGTTAAAGCGGAGATTTTATGATATTTTTAACTTTTTAGAAGATAATAGAGGTTTTTAAAGGTTTTTGAAAACAGAGGACTTTGAGGATTTTAGAGGAGCTGTGGCTGTGGCCACCCTGTATATATATATATATATATATATATATATATATATATATATATATATATATATATATATATATATATATATATATATATATATATATATATATATATTTTAAAATTATTTTAATAAAAATTGCAAAGGCAAATAATAACATATGCCACCTTAATCTAAGCAAGAGTTAGATTATTGGTAAACTATTGTATCCAAATTCCTGTAAAGTATATTTTTGTCAATTTATCTCATATAAATTATATAGTTTTAGCTAAAACGATTGCCTTACAGTTTCCTAAATTATAAGCTTACATGCTAAAAGTTAAAAATATTAACAGACCATTTTTGAACGCTCTAAAGTGTTTAAAAATTACTTTACATAATTACATCTATTTTCTGTAAATGTATTAATGCAATATTTGGCAAGAGAGCCATAGATTGCATTAATTTTTCTTATTAAGAATTATTGGGAGAAAATAAACACTTAAACACAGCATTAATTTCTTTTTTTTCTTTTCCTACGTTTTTATTTGTGAGTATTGTTGAATTTGATATGAGCATCTATCTATACTATAGACAGATAAATATATATCTATCTTTAAATAAACTTTTATATACAATGTATACAGACAAATAATTACATACAGATAAACTTTACATACAGTATATATACTGTATGTAAAGTTTATTTAAGTGTGCACGTTTTCATAAGGGTGCAATAATCGCAACACCAATATCGCTAATATGCGAAAATTATTTAAAAAACAAAACTAATCAAATCAAATACGGTCATTACTTTAATCCAAAGAGCAAATCCAGGTTTCGCGTTTATTGTAAAATCAAGACCCGAATTATTTAAATTTATTTAAACCGTTTATACTCATTTCCATATAATAATTTGCAATAGATAGATAATTATTATATATATTATATTAAATAATTATTTTTAATATATTATAGCAAAACTTGATATAACTTATCAAACGGACTCGATATTCAAGCGCTTATTATATTCGGGTCAGGATTTTATTAAAAAAGCAAAACCTGGATTTGCTCATTGGAAAAAAGTTTTGATCATCAAAAACATTGCAATACGATTTGGGCACTGATCTCAAAATATAACTTTATAGAAAATATAACTTTATATTAAAAAAATTATATTTTTAGATCAGTGGATTTGGGATAATTTACGGAGTCTCCGTTCCGTTCCGTAAGTTACCCCAAAATCGTTTAATAAGATAAATATTTCGAACTTAAGTTATGATAAACATGGCTAGGAAAGATATTTAGCGTTAAAAAAAATTTATATCAAGATTTTATATCAAAGTAATATTAATATGTCATATTCTGCTTCTCAAATTTTTTCTCAAATTCTAGAAATGTTTACTTTTCTAAACAATTTTGAGATAATTTGCGAAACAGAATTGAGACTATAAATCCGTGTATTCCAAAGACTTCGCTGATTAGCCTCAAAAAATCCGAAAATAACCTTTTAACGGGGAGGGTAGAGAGGTGGGTCATCCCCATTCTCCTTCCTCCTTTTCTCCCAGCCCTTTAAAGTTATCTTTGTTTGGAATATATATTTTTCGATACCAGTTTTTGTTTTTTTCTATACAAATTTTTTGATTCTTTGAATCAAAGAATGAAAAAATTTGTGTAGAAAGAAATTTAGTAATTTGTATCGAAAGTTTTGTACTTGTATAGAAAGAAGTTTTGTAACTTGTATAGAAATTGGTATAGAAAGGGCGAGGAGTTAGTGGTTTTGTGACGACTCATGCAGAACTTGTTACTAAAGAGTTACGATATGACGAAGGAAGGGGGAAAGGGGTAAAAAACGGTCGAG